AGATTTCAGAAAGTGATCCTTACCCTCAGGTAAACATAACCGAAGAACCTTTTGTGGCGGTGAATACTGACATAAATATGGTTGAGAATTTTGATGGATAGTGAATTGATCATGGTGTAAATCGTCCCGTCTGTTATGACAAAAACTAATTTTAAAATATACTTATTTTGAAGAGCCCAAAATCATCATGCTTGGTGATTTTCAAATTATTCAAGTGCTTGAAAAGGGAGATGTCGAATTGTGTTTAACTTCTAGAAGGGTATTAACTTTGAAAGAGGTTCTTTATACTCCTTCTATGAGAAAAAAATTTGATGTCTAGTTTTCTTCTTAATAAAGCAGACTTTAAATTAATTATTAGATCTGATCAATATGTAATAGTGAAAAAGGGTATTTATGTATGTAAAGGGTATGCATGTGATGGGTTGTCAAACTGAATGTTGAAATGAATAAAATTTCTACTTCATTTTATATGCTTTATTGTACCAATTTTTTGCATGCTCCTTTGTGTCATATTAATGATCGGAATGTTGGAATCCTGAGTAGTTTAGGATTAATCTCAATGATTAAAAAGAATTTTGAAAAGTCCCGAGGCTTGTAGTAAACTACTCCTCCTTACTCTCCTTCATCTAATGGAGTGGCGGAAAGGAAAAATAGAACTTTGATTGAATTAACTTGTCATGCTTATTGAGTCATATGCACCTTTAAATTTTTGGGTGAAGTTATTTTAGCCGCTTGTTATGTGTTGAATCGTGTGCCTCATAAAAAGTCTAAATTTACACCGTTTGTATTGTGGAAAGGTTACAAGCCAAGTTTGGGATATCTTAGAGTTGGAGTTGTCTAGCCTTTGTGAAGTTAATGGATCCCAAAATTATAAAGTTGGGTAAGAAAGTTACTACTTGTGCTTTTTTTGGTTATGCTTCAAATAGTACCGCCTATAGATTTTTTAATCTCAAAGATAATATTATAATAGAATCCGGTGATATTATTTTTTTATGAAAATAAATTTCCTTTTGATTCTAAAAATAGTGGGGGTCAAAGGATTGAACAAAATACGTTGTCACTACCTAATTCTTGTACTTCAACTTTGTAAAGAAGTTAATAATTTTGAGTTAAAAAGAAGTAAAAGAGTTACAGTAGGAAAAAATTTTGATTCTGAGTTTTATGTGTTTAATGTTGGAGATGACCCTCTCACTTTCAAAGAAACATTATCTTCACGTGATTCTATTTTTTGGAAAGAGGTAGTAAATATTGAAATTGAATCACTAATTTTTAATAGAACTTGAACACTAATTGATTTACCACCGATTTGTAAAACAATTGGTTACAAATGGCTTTTTAGAAAAAAGTTGAAATGGGATGATTTTATTGATGAATAAAAGACTAGACTAGTTGTAAAATATTTTAAACAACTAGAAGACCTAGAATTTTTTGATACTTTTTCTCTGGTAACAAGAATTACATCTATAAGACTTTTAATTGCTACGACTGCAATTTTTTATTTGCAAATTCATTAAATGGATGTAAATATTACTTTTTTAAAAAAAATGGAGACCTATTTGAGGAAATTTATATGGAACAACCTGAGTCATTTGTTGAAGCAGGCCAAGAAAGCAAAGTATGTAAACTTACTAAATCCCTATATGTCTTGAAACATACACCAAAATAATAGCATGAAAAGTTTGATTCTTGCATGATTGAAAATGAATTTAAAACAAATGAGTGTGATATGTGCAAATATCATAAGTCTTGGAATAATTCACATGTGATTTTTTCCTATATGTTGATGATTTATTGATCTTTGTCTCTAACATAAATGTTTTTGATGAAACTAAAAATATTCTTATAAGCCATTTTGATACGAAAGATCTTGGTGAGACAATTTTATTCTTGAAATAAAAATAGCAAGAACATGTGATGAAATTTTCTTGACCAGTCACATTATGTTGAGAATTTTTTAAAAAAGTATAACTTTATTGATTACAAACATGTTGCTACTCCTTTTGATTTAAGTGTTCACTTATTTCCTGTTGAGAGTGAAAATGATATAATAAATCAAAAGAATATGCTAGCATAATCAGCAGTTCGAGATATGTGGCTGATTGCACTAGGCCTGATATTGCATATATAGTAAGAGTACTTGACAGGTTTACAAACAAGCCAGGTAATGAATATCGGCACGCTATAACAAGAGTTATGAAATATTTTATGGAATAAAATATTGTGGTTTGTTCTATAAAAAGTATCCTGTTGTACTTGAAGGCTTTTGTGATGCAGAATGAACACTTTTTTAGGTGATTCCTCTTCTATCACTGGTTATGTCTTTACTTTAGGTGATAGTACTGTTTGTTGGAGATTAAAAAGTAAATTATAATTGTTAACTCTATCATGGAGGCTGAACTAATTGCTTGTGCTTCAAGCTAGTGAGAAAGTGAATTTGTTAAGAGATTTATTATTTCAAATTCCTTATTTTGAACAACCAATTCTACCTATTTTAATTCATTATGATAACACCGCTGCAATTGGTATAGTTCAAAATCGTTATTAAAATGGTAAATCCAGATCTATAAGGAGGAAACACAATAGTGTAAGATCGTATTTTACAAATGGTACAATTATCTTGTGATAATCTTGCAGATCCTCTTACTAAGGCCTTTACAAGAGAATGGTCTGGAGCACATCGAGGGGGATGTGATTGAAGCTTATAAATTTTTAAGTCATACATAAGAAAATCCAACCTTGGTAGTAGATATCCTATAACCAGGTTCAAATGAAAAAATTAATCATGTGATGACTTGTTGTGAAAAATGCATTATCTTTTTATTTCCTTTCTATGATGTGAATACATTGTTTGTTGTAGTGATTTGCGAAGCCCGAGTTGAAAAAAACTCTTAATAAATATGTAGCCTGTATGGGTGGAGTGTTAAACTTACAGGAGCACTCTCGACAGCTTTCACCTATGTAATGTGTGGAAGTGATTGTTTCCTATGAGAATTTGACTTATTCTCAAACGCACTCGTAAAATCGGGATAGCACGTGGCCATAGCGTGCTGGCTTTAAAGTTCATGTCAACACCTTGATTATTATGAAGGGACAATAACATTTTATTTTCCTTAAGCAGTCATAGTTCAAGTTTGAGACCACTACGACTCTGGAGTAAAAATTGTTGTTTCACTAAATAGAGGTTCAATGCAGAATACACTTTCATTATGCATAGTAATCTTCTTCAGCTGATATACTCTCTTATCTAATATTGAAATGAGTGGGTGATTATTAGTGTATGAATATTTTAGTATTATAAAAAATCCGTACATTAAATTGCCACATTAACAATTTTTTTATAGTGACCGTTCAAGACATTACTGCATCTGTTCATTCATTATGGACGTTGGAAGAAAATATAGTGTCCTAATTACTCATTTTCTTGTGGTGCATTACTTTGCACATTGAAGTGTGCTAACAGTTTGTCCGTTGAAGAATGCATCAATTGCAGTTGAATATTGGTGCTTGGTAGTATTAGTTGTCTTTTCACTATCTCACTCTTTATTCCTTCATTACACCTTATAATCTATGTAACTTTTAAAATTATTTATCTTCACTATTTACCACTTATTATCTTTCTATTCATTTCTAAGAAGACTTCTTCTATTATAAATAGTGATGATATTCATTTGGTTTGGAATAAATAACATACAAGAAAAATATAAAGTGAAAAAGTAAGTTAAAAAGAGAATTTTTATTAATTGAAAGAAGGTGTTCTTTTTTGTGGTACTTTGGACTCAACTCTTGTCTAGAGTTATTGAGTTGTGCTTTGTCAAAAGTATTGTATCTTGGAGGGAACAAATCAAAGAAGACTACTACTGGATCAGTGAAAACATTTGCTGTAATAAGCTCAAATCTCTTTAAAGAGAGCGAGATATTCATGCCTCTGTCTGAAGAGATTTATTTTTTCATTTTATTTTAAATTATAATCTTCATTTTTTCTGACATATAATAATACAATTTTCGAAGGGTAGTTAAATGAACCCGTAAATCTCTAACTCCACCTTTAGTATAAGAATAAAAAAAATATATGACAAAAGTAAAAAACTAGGGGCCCGTTTGACCATGTGATATGGAATCATGAGATGAAATCATTATATGAAATTATAAGATGAAATTGAAGTTCGTTTGGACATGCAATATGGAATTTTTGTGTTGTATATTTTCTCATAAACATAAAAATCTCCATAAGTTGTAAAATTATTAAAATAGCCCTAATTGTTTGTTCAATCTTATCAAATAAAAAATTATAAAATCGCATAATAAATTATTACAAATGTATTTATTCTCAATTTAAGTAATTGTTTCATTTAGCTTTAATTTAATAAAAAAATTGATAAAAAATTATAGTGTACTAGTTTTGAATATAATCCACTCACATAATGCGAACAATTTCCTCAAGTCGAACTTGCATTTCTCGATCATGTAACTGCGAAGACGAACCAACATTGTTATTTTAAGCCATTTGTTGGTCAATATCATCCACAACTATATTTTCATGTTTATAGACCATAAATATTTCATCACTTTAACAATTGGTTGGTGTGAGTTAAAGTGACTATATGTTGGTAAGAATAATAAATTTATGTCGGTGATAATAATAAATTTTAAAAAGTAACATTGTGATTGTAAATTTTATTTACATGTGAAACAAATGGTTAGTAAATAGAAGCGCGAGGTTGTTTTAAAAAAATATAAACTTGTGGATCAATTTTCTTATCAAATCATAATATGAAATCACAATGCAATTCCATATCATGCTTTTTGGAGAATATGAAATCACGTCTCATGATATGAAATCATAAAATGAAATCAGCGTAAAATTCATGTCCAAATGCAAATCATCTCACGAGATCATATCGTGATATGATATCGCATAAACAAACGACTACTAAATAAAACCTATAAAACATGGATAAATATAATCTTTTTCCAAAAAAATGAAAAGAGGATAAGCAAAGCTAAACCGCTCATTTTCAGTCAAAAAGAGAGAATACCCAAATGCAAATTTTAGCGCCAAGAAAGCAATGCTCTCTTTCGCTTTAGTCCATCTTCATCCTTCTTCTTCCCCAAACCCACAGTTCCATTTTCCCCACAAAAATCAAATTCTGCCAATTCAATCACTCAACTTTTCACCATTTACTGTAATACCCACAAAATTGCTGAGTAAACCCTCCTTCTCCCGCTTATTATCTTCGGTATCGTCGTCTTCTTTGGTTGCTGATGACTTTCAAGTGGAATTGGGTCGGTTATTGTCTTTGTTGCCGGAGGAAATGCGGCGAGGAGTTAGCGAACACCCGGAATATTCCAATTTAATTGAGGTGGTTATGGACTTAGGTCGTAAGCCACTTGCTCGCTTCCCTTCTGGAGATTTCATCTTATCCGATCAACCGATTACTTTGGGTGATCTTCAACAAGCTACCTCGCAGGTTAGAATTAATTAAATGCAGCACCCATTTCACCTTGAGATATATGTGTGTATATATACATGAGCAGAGGTAGGGTATCAGAAGGGGATTCGAAACCCTTAATTGTAAAATTACACTATATATATAAAAGATTATAGTAAATCTTGAATTTTTGTAGTAAGAATTCTAACTCTACCACTTATTCTGTATACATGGTTATAGAATAGGCATTATACATAAACATACCTTTAACTTGGCTTCATCGAACAAATATGACTTTTAACTTAGGGTGTACAACTGTACACTTAAACTCATATAAAATTGAATAAATAAACACATTCATTCTGAATGAAGTCCTACGTGGTGATTTTGTATCATGTGGCGTCCTATGTGTATTATGCCACGTAGGACGTATGTGTCTACTCGTTCAATTCCATTCATGTATTATGCCTACATGATATGTTGAATGATCTTCGTGAAAGTTATGACTTTACCACTGACTATATACAAGGTTATAATAAATGTTGAATTCCTTTAATGAAGATTTTAGGTCCCCCAATTACTATATACGTGGTTATAGTATATGTTGAATCTGTTTAGTGAGATTTCTGACTCTACCAATTATTATATACAAGGTTATAGTAAATGTTCAATCCATTTAGTGAAAATTCTGACTCTACCACTTGCTATATGCAAGGTTATAGTAAGTGTTTAATGCGCTTAATGAAAATTCTGGGTACACCACTTACTATATACAAGGTTATAATAGATGTTTAATGTTCTTATTGAAAAATCTGGCTCCAGCACTTACTATGTAATACTCACTCTGTCTCAATTTATCAATTTATGTGATGCACTTTTAACTGGAAGTTTAAGGAAGAAAGAAAGACAACACTTCTAGATTGTGGTAAATAACAAACCATAAGTGTGTGTATATATATATATATATATATATATTTCATCAAGTGTAAAATGTGAAGTTTATTGTTAGGTTGTTTTTAATTATAGAAAGGTAATTCTTTTTGGACAGACTTCAAGAATAAATGCATCACATAAGTTGGGGAGAAAGTAGAACGATTTGAAAAATAACATATACTTGCACTAAGTTTCTATCTAGATGAATCGTGAGTGTGCTGATACTTGATACTTACCATCCATGAATTTCAAATCCTAGATTGCTTTTACCTCTAGGAATAATTTGAACTGAAGTTGCAGTGATAGCTTCAATTGAATTAGGAAGGCTTTGATTTTGATCAGGGTCGGCCTTTGCCAACTCCTTTACACACGCACACTTAACGTTGATTAAGTGGAAATTTTGAGGTTGTGCCCAATTGATTAGCAAGTTCCTTTTTTGTGGTTGGTGTTTCAGTGATATGCTCAAAGACACTAGTGATTTAGTTTCAGACTGAATAGTAACTATGACCCTGGAAATACACTAACATAGTCGTTGATAACAACTTACCTACGTCCAAAGCGAAAAGTTAGTACTAGTAACGATTTAGTTAGTACTGTGTTTAATGGTTATTCATATTACAGGTTGGTGACTTTGCAGTTGACAATAGAGCTGGCATTAGCAGAACTTTACACCGAATTAGTGCTATTAGAAATCGGAAAGGTGCAATTATTGGTTTAACTTGTCGAGTTGGTCGTGCAATATCTGGAAGTGCAAACTCATTGCGAGATCTAGTTAAAGATGGTGCGTCTTTGTTGCTCATTGGTCCTCCTGGAGTAGGAAAAACAACTATTATCAGGTTGGTTGTTACATAGACTCTCATGTCATGCCCTCTGATCTTTGATGTGCAATGTCATGAACTTGAGGAACATTTCTGCTGTTTGACCTGAATCTCCTTCTCATTTTAAAGTTAATCGGTGCCATTACATTTCTGGTTGTCACATTAAAAAGATATATTTTTCTTTGAGAAAAGACATAAAGTGACACCTGAAGTTGTCCCTAATTTTCAAGAAGACACCTTAAGTATGTGGTCCTCCTATAACCCCACAAAAGTAATAAATACCTTTGTTAATAGACAGTTTGACCCGTTTCTTCCCTATGTTTGTTTTCACGTAGATGACGCGAGTGAATGAGAAACTTTGCTTCCAAAAATGAATTAAAAACCTCCACTTGTCAGTTTTTTTCTGTTATTTAATTATTTCCTCTTTAATTTTTTCGAAAAAGCGTTGGTTGAAGGTTTAACAAAAATTATCTTCTCTCTTGAATGAAATCAGCCTAAAAAGGTAAGAACTTTCTAACTACTTACTAATTTCCAGTTCAAGGTTTAATTTCTTTAAAATTTGAGAAATCAAGATATATTTTTTGTGATTAAAATAATTTTGTAAAGTCAAGTTCAATCTTGAATCGTATTTGGAATGATGAGAATGATCCGATATTGGTGTGAAGATGCAATGCAAACATGGAACAATGTTTTGGACGGCGAAAGGCGACAAGAGTCTTGCCTCACCAAAAGATGAGTCGAGCGGCGAGGCGCTCGCCTTTTTGAAGTGCGGCACCAATTAAGACCAACAAATTAAAATATTTAATTGCATATGTAAATAATCAAAATCTCAATAGCAATAACATATTAGCAAATATTTCAATTCAAAAACTGAAAATAGGTAGTACATACCAATAGTCTAGAACTTGAATGAACAAACAAAGTACAAAAGTCAAAACAATGAAAAAAAAAACAAAGGTAGAAGTAACTCTGAAGTCTAAAGAAGAAGAAGGAAAAAGAAAGAAAGGAAGAAGAAGAGAAGAAGAAATTAGCAGAAGAAAAGAAGAAATACGTATTGGTTGGAGTTTGGAGTCGCCAGTAAAGTCTGGCTGATTGCCGAGAAGTCAAGTCAAGTCGACTAGTTGGGGTCACAGTCTAAGAGTGCAACTTTCTAAATTTGGAAAGTAAACCCTAAAATGATCTTTTAACTTTTAAAATCCTAAATTGGTCGCCTTTTTTTAAGAAAACACAAAAGGCGGCGCCTTTCTTGCCTCTGTCGTCGTTGTCTCGATGGCGTTGCCTTTTGAAGATCGCCTCGCCACAAAGCTAAAAAGCAATGAAGGTTCGCCTCACATTGCCTCACCTCTAGCCATTTCCTTTCACAACATTGACATGGAAATTCACTTTCAATACAAATTTCTTGGTGGTCCAGTGCCAATTGAAGCACAATTCTAGTGCCAACAGAACCCAACAAGAATGAACCTCTAATTCATCCCACGACTCTTCGAATTTGCAAAAGGAATTTGCGATCATTGAAGCAATTTCATAGAAGAGTTTGACTGGGCTCAAAAAAAGTATATCTATATCCTTGGAGAAATCTTGTATGATTCATGTAAAATTGACTATGGGGTATGATTCTCCGGTAGTTGATCTATCTATGATCAAAGATTCAGCTCATTCCGCAGTCCCATTGGAAAGATCTCAACAGGCGATTTTCTGTGAGAATCGCCTGCGGATGGGTGGCCCCAGATGTGCCTGCAATTTCAATTACCCTCTGACGAGATTCGAGGGGAATCAATCAATGGGGAATACCCCGATTTCCTAACGTACCTTATACTGAAAGCCCACACAAAATGGACGGCGGAATCATAATCGAGGAGAACTCCGGCGATGGCGATAGAGCTCTGGTGAAATTTTCAGGCAACGAGCAATGCCAAAATGAGCATCAGAATGAACTGAACGCAACACAAGAAAAAGCCCCAATTGGTAAGCTTCCTAACAATTCGAATTTGCAAATTAGGGTTAAGCAAATTGGAGGTCTCAGGCAAAGTAATTATGTCCAATTTTCGGGCAATACTCAAAGCCATCAGGTTCATGATATTTGAGGCCAATATAAGTTTGAATCAAGTTCATACTGTTGAAGCTGCAAGCTCTAATTCCAATGCAGACTTGGTTTTACATTTTGGTAAGCTATACCACACAGATGCTGGCTAGCTTTTTCAAGTTTGGAAGCAGGCAGTGGCTTAGCATACCACACATTTGGTAAGCTTTACCGCACATAGCTTGAAACCAGTAAGTAGTTTGATTCTGGATTTTATATCAGGTCCTTGCCAACCCTTTGAAATTTTCTCATTGGCGCTGCTAGTTTGGTATCTAGATATGGCTTCCTGATGTCTCTTTAATTGAGATATAAGCTGAGACTTCTTGCTTTATCTTCGCTTAAGCTCAATTTTGGACAAGTTCAATGTTACTTGAATACGAAGCTCTCATGAAGCCATGGTTCATGGAATAAAACAGGTTTCTTGGCGTATCCAACAGCAGACTTTTTTTTATTGTTGGTAAAATTAAAGATCCTGGACATAATCAATAATATTAAAGTTTTCCAGTTTTTTCATAATGTAATTCTACTTTTTTTCTTCAACTCTTCCTTTTTTTATGAAGTCTTTGTGGGGTTATTTAGCTTAAACTTTTAGTCCCAGGCTAGTTTAGACAATGCTGCTTGTTACTGTAATTTAGTGGAATGATGTATTTATGAAGTGGTGGGAAAATATCGTGGATTTAGCACTTGGTAGTGGGTTGCATACGGGGCTCTTACAATTATTCTGTGTCTTATTCTGTTGCATTTATTGCAAAGGACAGGTGTGTATTTGTTAACATTTCTTATTCAAGGTATGCTTAGTTGTGTATTTTGACTGTTCCCTTTAGATGTTTGTTTCTTGCATTTCCTTCTCATTGTCCACATTATTGGTTAGCTCTAATGTTATGGAAGTCTGTCTAATGTTTGATTTATCAAGGGTTCAGCTGTCTGTATGTACTAATTATTGTATCCCATGCCATGGTGAACACTTTCTCCTTTCATTTCTCCTTGCACACTGATACACATAAAATCCTGCAGTTATAACTTAGCAATGATAGTTCCTCCGCAATGTGCATGTATCTCCTACCATCCCAATAAGCTATTTCCATGAGATTCAGCAGATGGGTATGTAAGGATTTTTTTCTTTATACTCCTAGGGACATAGCCAGGATGCTTGCAAATGATTATAGGAAGCGCGTAATGATTGTGGACACCTCTAATGAAATTGGTGGGGATGGTGATATACCTCATGCAGGAATTGGTAATGCTCGGCGGATGCAGGTTCCACATAATGATATGCAACACAAGGTAGGAGCTTGACTTTCACTCTGTTAGCCAGATGAAAATAAAATTACTTTTTTGAAAAGGTGTATTGATGCAACCACTGCAATTTCTTATTGGAAGAGACCTTTTATCTTACCCAAATTTAAAGCAAAACTGGGACCACATGTACTTGATTAATAGCTTTCTGAGGATATACCTATTGCTGGTTCTTGGATGGACCTATCCTTCCCTTACATGAGTGGCTCCAAACATGAGTCAACTGGTCATTGATCAACGAGGATTGTTTTTTACTTTAATTTTTTTGTAGGTGCTGATAGAAGCAGTGGAAAATCATATGCCACAAGTGATTGTAATCGATGAGATTGGTACTAAGCTTGAGGCAATGGCTGCAAGCACCATTGCACAACGAGGAATTCAGTTAGTTGCAACTGCTCATGGAGTAACAATAGAGAATTTAGTAATGAATCCTGCTTTAGAGATGCTGGTTGGAGGAGTACAGGTAGTTCCCGTTTAACAGAACTTTTTCCAGTTAGTTGTTACATTTAAAACAATTGGGCTGATGCTTAATTAATGGTGAACAATGCTGTTATGCTACAAACGGGTAAGTACGGTAACTTTGTGTTTTTCCAATAAAACGGGTTAGTAGGTAATAGGACTTCTATTTAGAAAGAAGCTAGTAAACAGTCTAGGGGGATCCCACTGTTCCTAGTTGTACCAGATGTGACTTCTTCTTTCCTTTCATATATCATAAGTAGAACGCAAAATCAATATCATTGCAATGAAGTGAACCAATGCATTCTCTACATAATATATGCAATTGCAACACAAGTAGTGCATGAAGGGTAAAAAAACAAAAACAATTTAATTGAAGTGAACCACTGCATTGTCTATATTTTCTATGTAATTGCAACATGAGCTGTGCATGGAGGGTCAGAGGGTGAAAGTCTTTAACTTGGTTGCCTAACTATTTACTCATGGAGGTGTCTTGACATTGATATCTATAATGGATGAGTCCCAAAAGGTTTTCTCAAAAAAAAAAAAAAAAAAAGAAAGAAAAGTGAAGAGTCTCAAAAGATGATATCAACGTCAAACCCACCCTTCGAAATGATGCCATAATACCATTATAGCATGGAGCGACGTTTTACTCTCATGCACTATTGGATGACTGGAAGCTGTTTGAGGTTTATAGTATAGTTGCATAACTTATTTCTTTGTCAGAGTGTGACACTTGGGGATGAAGAGGCTAGCAGGCGACGCGTTCAGAAATCTGTTCTGGAGAGGAAAGGTCCATCATCTTTTAGCTGTGGGGTTGAGATAATCTCCAAGGCAGAATTGAGAGTTCACCCTGATTTAGAAGCAACAGTAGATGCAATTCTTGCAGGTCTTTTACTAGTCCTCCCTCCTAAATCCTAACAAAACATTTCTGCTGACAAATCATTTGCATATCATCCTGTTGGAAAGCTGATTGAATGTTGTTTAATCGTCTGCCTTGGTGTTAATTTCATGCTGAGAAGGACGTTACCCAAAATATGAAATTCGCAAGATAAATCCAGGATCGCAAGATGGAATTATGGAAATTTCATCCATCCAAGCACCATTAGATGAAATAAATGAAGTTTTGATTGAAGATATAATCCAGATTAATGGAGGTATACCTGATTCAACTGAGCTCATCTCAGCAACAGGTCCGAGCATGGAAGGAGGTTCTGGTGAAAGTGAGGATGCCCTTTGCATTTTTCTATATGGGGTAAGATGATATTACCATTTACTTGTTCGATAGGAAAAAAGAATGTCATCACTACATTGAATATGTATAAGTTTGGTTAATAACTAAAATCCCAGTCTCAGAATCTGTTCTCTTAGTTCAACTTTAATACCGAGCTAGTATTCGTATTGTTGAAGGGCCTTCGAAAGAGAATCAATTTCCAAAAAGTGAAATACCTCCTAGTACATGATGGTTCTGCATTCGTATACTATTGTTACTTAATTTGCTGCAAAGTTAGTCTCTTTCAATTTGTGGATCTAATAAACCTGATTTGATGCTTCTCCAGTATCCTAATAGTCTCCTTGTTTTCCTATCTTTTCATGTTAAGGTCCCACATACCCCCTTCCTCTGCTGGAAGTGCTTGGTGGCCCCAAACATGAAGTGTAGAAGTATCGAGCAGGAATGATTTTTTTCTTTTGGCTGACTATTCAAATTCAAGCCCCAGCAATTTTTTTTTTTTAAAAAATATTCCTGGAAGAAAAGATCACATGCTTGAATTTTGTCACTCCTTGTATAGGCGGAAAAAGAGTAGATGTTCTTCTATGCTTTAGCTCATTAAGATTTCACCCATTAAAATACTTGTCAAAGACACATTTTAGAATTACAGAGCCTCCTCTTCAAACTTTATATCATCTAATGAAGCATTTGAGTTAATCCACTCTCTTTTCCTTTTAGTTCTCTAAATTTTTTAACTTCTATGAGGGAAAGTGTAGCATAGAATAAGAGATTCTTATGAAGAAAACGTAATAGAAGAGAGGAAAAAACACGATAAAGCTCCATCAGCTTCTATATGGAAACATCTACGTGGAACTCATATTTGAGCAGGTATTGTAGATCTCAGAGGCAAGTGTGATGCAAGGGATAAAACAGCTTAACATTGACGATACGTTTGAGTTTACTGATAATATCAGTGAAGCAGATGTGCTACTTGCTCTGCAGTCCAAGCTTAAGAAAAATTCTCGGATTCAAGCAGCTGCAAGATCTCACGGCATTCCTATTTATGTGACAAAGGTATTTGTTAGAACCAACTTGCAATATCTCCTTATTTGAATGAAAGTTCTGAAGAAAGAAGGAAAAACAAGATGAGTTCTTTTATGCATTATCTGTTGCCTGTGCTGAGTCCGAATTCACTATCCTTGTGTGTATTGAAGTATCTTTTCCTTTTGCAGACTAGCTCCTCAACACAGCTGACAAAGGCTATGCAGGCATTAATCAGTGATTTTGCTGATGGCTTTGAGTTTCTCGAATCTGAAGCTAAAACTAATGAGTCTGAAAAGATTGATGCCTTAGAGGTAATTTCCCGTTGTATTCTTTTTTAGTACTTTTTTTGGAAAATTCAATTTCAAAGACTCTAGCGGCTGACTTCCATAAAGATGATGATGGGCTTTTTGTGATTAACTGGCTTTTAACTACCCTAAAGTTGAGGGTGATTATCCTTAAGTTGGCTTTTAACTTTATGATGAAATACTAATTTTCACTCTCTGGAAAACATGGAGGTTCCAATGAAGTCATTGGCCTGAAATATATGTGCTATACCATTTAGTCATGCTGTGTGAGGACATCTGACGTTTGCAATGGAACAAAAGATAAAGTAGACTTCAACTTAGGATTCACCAAGTCTGTGGTTGAAAAAATTGTGGTCTCATGTCAGTCTAAGAAGGGGATTGGTAAAAGTCGCCGCCATGTGACCACGAGGTCACAATTTCAAACCGTTGAAAGCTCTTGCAGAAATGCAAGGTAAGGCAGCCTATATGAGAGCCAATGGGGTCTGGGCCTTCCCCAGTCTGTGCATAGGGGGAGCTTAGTGGACCTGTCTGTCCTTTTTCTTTTTCATTTTGGACTAGGGCATCAGCTATTTACAATGGAAAAGAGATAAAAATTCATTTCAGACTAAGTGGTGTTTGAATTGGCTTATTTTTAGTGGTTTCTGGCATTTAAGCATTTCTTTAGTTTTGGAAGTGTTTGGGTAGAAGTGTTTTTAAACACTTATTCAAAGCTGAGAAAGTACAAAAAAGAAGCCAAAAGCCAATAGTTGGGGGTTCCCAACTAATGACTTTTGGCTTTTAGTAACTTATAAGCCACTTAAAAAAAGTCAATCCAAACACACCGTAATATTCAAATATGTGTGAAGTGGCTTGTTGTCTAAGGTCTCATCCGAAGGTGGAGTATTCAACAAATATATTATCCTGCTAGCTAGAATCTATAGGAGAATACTGAAGGAGTGTGAACATTTAGATTAAGGTCATCAGGCGCTCTATTGTATTCTGTTAATATCCTGAGGAATTCTCCTTTGGAAATTAGAGAAGCTTAATTAGCCAATAGGTTGGGAAAAAGAACACATCAACCAGCTAATATTCATCCAAAAAAATCAACTGATGCACAAGCCTTTTCTTTTTTCTTATCAGGATATAGAGCGTCACATTTGTACTCGAGTTACTAGAACTTCACTACTGTTAAAACTTAAAACTGAACTGGGATACTTCTGGATGTGGTTGTTAATGATTATGTGGCTTGAGGGTACTGGGTAGTATATTCATTAACTCAACTAAATAAAAAGAATAAACAAAACAGAGAAAGAAAAAGAACTAATCAACAAAGGAAAAGAATAATTGCCACCCTAATGGATTTAGTTGAATTTAAAATTAACATAAAACTATGTCTCTTATGGGGAAAATCTGATAAATGATTAAAATTAAAAGAAAACCATGTCTCTTATGGAAAATTCCGATAAAGTTGGAAGGATGCAAAAATTAATATAAAACTATTGATCCACTTTGAAATATTATATACATCTTTATGGAGAAAGCCAATCAGCATTAGGTGCTCATGGGATGCATATATGTCAAGTAAAAATGTCTATCTGCTTACCAGATAAGTTTTACTATCTAATTTACAAATTGTGCCAAGTTTGAGGGACTATCTAGGTATTTAGACCAGGTTATTTGTATGATCTACTTTAAAAATGCTTATAAATCAGTAAAGGATACTATATAAATAGACTTTAAGGGGTAAGTGAATCTTATGTTAGAGTTTCAATTAACAAATCTATCAAAAGAGTTAAGTATTTCTCTGACAAATTCAGCCTTTTATATAACAAATTAGTTTCTTATATTTCTTTATATTGTTATGTCTGAAGAAAAAAATTCTCAAACTGCCGAAGGTATAGATAATCCAATGGAAGACAAATCCTCGACTAATAAAAAAAGGAGCTTCTATTTATCTATATTTTCAACAACTTGAGATTTTTTTCCCGGACATAACAATAAGGGGATATTAGAAACTACTTTGTCATATAAAAGATCGAATTTGTTAGAAAAACTGTTAGTTCTTTTGGTCGAGTTGTAATTGAAGCTCTAACATAGAATTCACTTATCTCTTGAAGTCTATTTATATAGTACTTTTACTAGCTTATGAGCATGTTTAAAGTTCACCATATAAATAATCTAGTGTAAATATCTAGATATTTCCTCAAACTTGGCAAAATTTGTAAATAGACACTTAAACTTTGTTTGGTGACTTGATAGACACTCTTACTTGACATATATGTGATAGATTTTATGATCATGGAGTTTAGACTCCATTGTTGCAGATTTCTGCAACTCTAAGGAAATGGCAGTAAGAAAAATCTAGAAGAAGAAGAAGAAGAAGAAAACAAAGAGTTTTTCATATATGCTGAATACAATAATGACTCCTATTTATAGGAATCATGTTATTCTATTTGTTCACACTTTAGGAGTTGAAGTTAGTTACAACTAACTACAAATTGCCTAACTACTTTCATGACTCCTAACTAACTAATACTAACAAACTTAACTACTTATTGGACTATGTAATTCCAATACTCCCCCTCAAGCTGAAATCTCTATAGACATTGAAGACTCCAAGCTTGTTTATCAGTCCAAGATGTTGAGTAACTCCCAGTCCTTTGGTTAGAAGATCTGCTAACTGTTCCTTTGTGTTGATATATTCTGTTTGTATCATTCCATTTTTGATTTTTCCCCTCACAAAATGACAATCAATCTCAATGTGCTTGGTCCTTTCATGAAAAATAGGATTAGCTCCAATTTGAATTGCAGCCTTCATATCACAGTGCAATTTTACAGGAACTATCACATTCACATTAAGTTCTTTTAATACTTCAAGTAACCATGATATTTCCGATACTGCAGCTGCTATGCTCCTATACTCAGCTTCTGCTGACTATATGTTGCTTCTTGGATTTCCAAGAAATGAGTGAATTCCCTAGCTTGATTACATACCCTGTTACTGACTTTCTTGTGTTTGGGCATGATGCCCAGTCTGAGTCACAGAATGCCTCCATTTCATTGCTATCTTCACTGCTAAGTAGTATTCCTTGTCCTGGACATCCTTTAATGTATCTAACCAATCTTAATGCAGCTTCCCAGTGAGACACCTTAGGTTTTTGCATGAACTGTGATAAAACTTGTACTGCAAAACATATATCTGGCCTAGTAGTTGTAAAGTATAACAACCTACCAATTAATCTCTGATGTGCAGTAACATTTGCATATAAAGGATCATCTGTCTTTGCAATGGCTTCATCATATTCAACAGTAGTTAATTTGACACCTGATTCTAGAGGTGTGCTTGCTGGTTTTGAACCTCCAAAGACTACAGTCTGAAATCAACTCCAGTGCATACTTTCTTTGGCTAAGAACAATACCATTTTTTGATCTTAGTACTTCAATACCAAGAAAATACTTTAGATCACCAAGATCTTTCATTTTGAAGTTACTATGTAATGTAGCCTTTAGATCCTGAATCAAAACACTGCTATTTCCAGTTATAAGAAGATCATCTACATAGATCAACACTGCTGCAATATCACCTCCAACTCTCTTTGTGAAAAGAGAATGATCATAAGAACTTTGAGAATAACCAGCAGTAACTAGAGCCTCAGTTAGCTTAAGGTTCCATTGCCTAGAATCTTTCTTCAAGCCATAAAAGACTTCAACAATTTACAGACTTTGTTCTCCCCCTGCCTCTGAAATCCCTAAGGCAAGTCCATGTACACTTCTTCAGTGAGATCACCCTGAAGGAAAGCATTATGGACATCCATTTGAAAAAGAGGCCAACCATGGGATGCTGCAACACTAATCACAGTTCTCACTGTGACCATCTTAGCTACTGGGGAAAAAGTTTCATGATAGTCCAATCCTTCTTGTTGATTATAGCCTTTGGCAACCAACCTAGCCTTGTACCTTTCCACCTTACCATTGGCCTTAAGTTTAACTTTATAAACCCATTTTGAACCAATAGGATGTTTACTAGATGGCAAATCCACTATTGCCCAGGTATTGTTTTGCTCTAAAGCAGCTACTTCAGACTGCATTGCATCCACCCATTGTTGATGTTTGGAGGCTTCCTTGAAGCTGGTGGGTTCCACTATAACTGAGAATCTCTTGATAAAACTTTGATAAGATGGTGTCAAGAGTTCATAGGACAAATTATTAGCAATAGGATATAAACAAGTCATATTGGACTTAGTTGAAACTAAGTAATCTTTATGCCAAAGAGGAGGCTTAGAAGGTTTAGCAGTCCTTCTAGCAGGTGCAAGATCACTTTTACTTATTGAAATTACATAGTCCAATAAGTAGTTAAGTTTGTTAGTATTAGTTAGTTAGGAGTCATGAAAGTAGTTAGGCAACTTGTAGTTAGTTGTAACTAACTTCAACTCCTAAAGTGTGAACAAATAGAATAACATGATTCCTATAAGGAAACATTATTGTATTCAGCATATATGAAAAACTCTCTGTTTCTTCTTCTTCTTCTTCTAGATTTTTCTTACTGCCATTTCCTTAGAGTTGCAGAAATCTGCAACAATGGAGTCTTTAACTCCATGATCATAAAATCTATCATGGTATCAGAGCAGGCGTAACTAGGACTAGTTTGATTTCAAATTTTTCTTTCCGCAAAGTAATTTTTTGAAGCTCAGATTATAGCCATGGCGAACTTACTGTAGCAAAACTTGGACACAATCATCCACTCTATCTGCAGCCTTCAGACATGCCTGGTGTTGCATTGATTACAACAAAGCTCACAGGACTTGAGAATTATGGTCTTTGGAGCAGATCGATGAGATTAGCACTGTTGGTGAAAAATAAGATAAGCTTCATAGATGGAACTTGTTTGAAGAGTATGTACAAGGATGAATTAGCAGTCCAATGGGAAAGATGCAATGCAGTGGTTCTTTCATGGATTAGTAGCACAGTAGCAAACAATATGTTAACAACAATAGTATATGCATCTAATGCAAAACGAGTTTGGGAAGATTTCAAGGAGAGGTTTGATAAATCTAATCTCACTAGGATCTATCAACTCTGGACAGAAGTAGCCACATGAAAGCAAGGTACGGATTCTGTAACAGAGTATTATTCTAAATTGAGGGATTTATGGGATGAGTATGATGTATTGGTGCCCTCACCATCATGTAAATGTGATGATGCTAAGCCTTATATTGAGCATTTACATCAACAAAGATTGATGATGTTCCTGATGGGGTTAAATGAGACTTTCAGTCATGTGAGAAGTGATTTGTTGCTGAAAAGTGAAGTACCTAGCATTAACCAAGCTTATGCAACTGTAATTCAAGAGGAAAGCCAAAGAGTATTAGGTGTAGTGGATTCAAATAAAGAGCCACTTACTATGATGACAGGAAGAGGACAAGGACAAGGATTCAAAGGGAAGAAGGTATTACCAGGCAATTCCAATAATATGAATCTCTTAAGTACCTTATGCTGACATGTCAAATTTGTGTGTATTGCAGTCCACGTTGGCGTGTGAACAAACTATGTCTCTACTGGGAAAAATCCGATAAATAATTAAAATTAACATAAAACTATGTCTCTTGTGGAAAAATTTCGATAAAGTTGGAAGGATGCAAAAATTAACATAAACTATTGATCCACTTTGGAAAATTATATACATCTTTATGGAGAAAGCTAATCAAGCGTGCAACATGCTTTTTTTCTTTTTGATGACCATGATGTTCGGACTAGCTTTTCGTACTTCGTCTAATTCTACAAGATATCTGCCACCTCCCACCAAATACTAGATTATCCATATGGTTAACTAAACATGCTCATAAGCCAGTAAGAGATACAATATAAATAGGCTTTAAGGGATAACTTAATTCTATGTTAGAGTTTCAATTAACAAATCTACAAAAAGAGTAAACTGTTTTTTCTGAAAATTTCACCCTTTCTCAAACTGCTGATGGAATAAATAACCCAATGGAAGCTCCCTTTTAGGGGTATGAGAGAAGAAGTTTGTATGCTATAGGTAGATCAGGACAAATAATTTATTACTGATCAAATGGTTCATTTGCAAGAATTTATGAATATAAAGATGACATTCCTAGAATTTATAATCTCTGTTTCTTTGATATAACTAAATTATGTGTGATTTCATTTTTATTAGAGATTTTCAAGATAGAGATAGTGTTATGATAACAAGGAACAGAGAAATTCAAGATTTATAGGATAAATGAAATTTAAGAAGAGACGATTTTAACTTTGTCAAAAAAAGAAAAGAAAAGAAAAGAAGAGATGATTTTAAAATCACAAGAAAACAAACATGATTTCAATAAAATCGCTAATAAAAAGGAAATCACATAAAATTTAGCTATATCTAAGAATCAAAGATTGTAAGTTCTAGGGATATCATTTTTTGTATCCATAAAATTCTCGCGAATCAACCATCTGATCAATAACACAAATTTCTTCTCTCATGAAAAGGAGCTTCCATTGCGTTATTTGTTTTTCAACAGTTTGAGAATAATTGTTCTTCAGACATAAGAATAAGGAGATATAAGAAACTAATTTATTATATAAAAGAACAAATTGTCAGAGATTTAGTTAACTCTTTTTTGGTAGATTTGTAATTGAAACTCTAGCGTGGAATTCACTTGTCTCTTAAAGCCTGTTGATATAGTATCCTTTACTATCTTATGAGCATGTTTAAAGTTGACTATAAATAATTTAGTCTTAATGCCTAATAGTCCCTCAAAACTTGACACAATTTGTAAATAGATGCTTAAACTTATCTGGCGACTAGATAAACACTTTTACTTGATATATATACATCTCATAAGCACCTAATGTTGGCATTTCAAATTTGTGTGGATTGTACTCCATATTGACTCGTGAACAAATTAAATCAGTCAATTTCTTCTCCACCCCACCCCCCCTGATTTTTTTAATGCATTCTTTTTACATTTTCCTTGGAAATTTTGAACTAAATGATCCTAAAGAATGGTATAAGTGATTGTTTTCTTTATTCTAAACAGAGAACAACTTATAAATTAGGTCATGTTTACGTCAATAAAAATCACAAATTTTACAAATGTTTGAGTTATTACACTATTGAATCGCAATTGAAAATAAATATTTGTTGACTATTCTAAAATTTTGACCAACTTTTATCCTCTTAACAATCAAATTATACGACTGCAGGTTCATTATTTCTTCCTATGAGTATCAAAATGTAAAATTGATGATTGAAATTGATTTAAAGTTATTGAGGATGAGATTAAATTTATTAAGTATTAATTGCACTTCTTAAAACTCATCTAACACTTAATGGTAGTCCTAGTTGACTAAATATTCTTTCACCCGTGCTCATAATATTATTGTTCCAATAGTTCAGATGATGAATGTCATCAGGGGCAGAGCTACCCTTTATCAAGGGTGGTCATCCGGACCCTTTGCCGGGAAATTACAGGAGATATGTAGGTAAAATTTTGGATTTTTTGGTTATATACCGAGTAAGGACACCCTTGATACAACTAAGTTTTGTGGCTCAGCTGTAAAGACAGTTCAGGATGAGCATTGCTACCTTGGTTCAATCCCACATAGAAGCATGTACGACTTTTTTGGGTCTATTTTTCATATTATTTTCCTTCACTTTAGTTTCAGTGAGACCAGCAAGATATATTCTATTTTCCCGCAAGTAATTCTTCAACTCTTTCTGCTTGTAGATTTAGTCACACCCCTTAGGTTCTGGAACAGTCACTTCATTGGCAAGTTTGTGGAGCTCCTCTCTAATCAATAGGCAGTGAATCAAGCTTACTATGCATAAGACTCTTAAATCTGTTTTTTGTTGGAATTGTTGTCAATACAGGGAAGTTTGTGAGGTTGAACTCTGGACTTGGCCAGGTTGCATTTGGCCTTAAACTGTGTTGCTGGGGATCTCCTCCTTCTGGTGTCTGTTTGTTACTCCCTGTCTCCATCACCTGGTTGCAAATCTCCTCAACTCTATTTTGGGAATTAGCTGGCGTAGAACTTTGGCCTTGTTCAGTCTTCTGCTCATTAGTATGAACTTGAGGTCGAGTCAGCCCCTTAAATTGCCATGCTTGCGTCACTGTCTCCCTGCTATAGTTACTAGAACTTCGTTACTGTTAAAACTTAAAACTAAACTGTGATACTTCTGGATGTGGTTGTTAATGAGTATGGGGCTTGAGGGTAGTGTGTACATCTACTGTTTAGTTCAGGATAATGATTTCTTTCATTGAAAGTGAACTGATATTTGTTAACTCAACTAAATAAATAGAAGAAACAAAACAGAAAGAACTAATCAACAAAGGAAAAGAATAATTTCCACCCTAATGGATTAGTTGTATTTAGAATTAACATAAAACTATGTCTCTTCTCTTATGGGGAAATCTGATAAATAATTAAAATTAACATAGAACTATGTCCCTTATGGGAAAATTCCGATAAAGGTGGAAGGCCACAAAAATTAACATAAAACTATTGATCCACTTTGAAAAATAATATACATCTTTATGAAGAAAGCTAATCAGTATTAGGTGCTCATGAGATGCAGAAAAATTTTACAATGGGAGAGGTCCAACCAACAATAGTTGGGTGACCAATCCATTGATTAATTGACACATGGATAAAGGTACATTTCTTTACCTTTTTACCATCTCTCTTACTTACCTTTCTTTTCTTTTATTTTTTTATTTTCTTACTTCTAATAAATATTTCTTAAGTTCATTTTCTTAAATTGTTGATATATTGAATAAAAGAATTAATAAATATTTCTTTTATCACAATAACTAAAATAATTTTTAGGACGGAGAATTTAAAATACTAATATCATGCAATTTTAGAAAATATTGCATGATATTAGTATTTTAAATTCTCCGTCCTAAATTTTTTTTTAGTTATTGTGATAAAAGAAATATTTATTAATTCTTTTATTCAATATATCAACAATTTAAGAAAATGAAGTTAAAAAATATTTATTAGAAGTAAGAAAATAAAAAAAGAAAAGAAAGGTAAGTAAGAGAGATGGTAAAAAGGTAAAGAAATGTACCTTTATCCATGTGTCAATTAATCAATGGAGGGGTCACCCAACTATTGTTGGTTGGACCTCTCCCATTGTAAATTTTTTCATGAGATGCATATATGTCAAGAAAAAGTGTCTATATGGTCACTAGATATGTTTAATGTCTAATTTACAAAGTGTGCCAAGTTTGAGGGACTATCTAGGTATTTAAACTAAATTATTTAGGGATAAAGGGACAAATGCGCCCTAAACTATGACTGGAATCCCAGAGACACTTTAACTAAACTAAGGTCTTATTACCCTCAAGTAATTTTTTTGTAATTTAATACCCCTTTTAGCTTACGTGGCATACTCCATGACTCCATGCAGTTGGTAGTTGAGGCACGTAGAAGATGTTTAGATGTCACGTTAGCCAAAAAGGTGTAAAAAGTTACAAAATAAATTGTTTCTCGGGGGTGGGGGGTGGGGGAGGGATGTAATAGGACTTTAGTTTAGCTAAAACGTGTCTCTAGAATTTCGATCATAGTCTAGGGGTACTTGTGCCTTCCTAATTATTTATGTAGTCAACTTTAAACATGCTCATAAGCCAGTAAAGAATACAATATAAATATACTTTAAGGGGTAAGTGAATTTTGTGTTAGAGTTTCAGTTAACAAATCTAGCAAAAGAGTTGTGTATTTCTCTAACAAATTTAATCATTTTATATATAAAAAAATAGTTTCTTATATCTCCTCATGGTTATGTTTGAAAAAAAGATGCCCCAACTGTTGGAGGAATATATAAATCCAATGAAAGCTCCTTTTTATGGGTATGAGAGAAGTTTGTGTTTTACTGATTTATCATAACTAAAAATTTGTTACTGATCAGATGGTTGCTTTGTGAGAATTCCTAATGCTAGGTTGGGCTCAAAAATTCTCACAAATTAACCATTTGATGAGTATTTAGTTCTGTCATGATCAGTAACGCATAAACTTCTTTTCTCATATCCATAAAAAAGGAGCTTCTATTGAATTATCTATTTCTTCAACATTTGAAATAAGGAGATATAAAAAATTACTTTGTTATATAAAAAGCTGAATTTGTCGAAGGAACACTCTTAACTCTTTTAGTAGATTTGTAATTGAAGCTCTAATCAAGAATTCACTTACCCCTTAAAGCCTATTTATATAATATCCGTTACTGGCTTATGAATATGTTTAGAGTTGACCATATAAATAATTAAGTCTAAATACCTAGATAGTCTTTCAATCTTGGCACAATTTGTCATTTAGACAGTTAAACTTATCAGGTGATCAGATAGACACTTTTACTTTTTAGATGATAAAGTCTTTAATAGCAAGGTTTAAAATATACAAGAACGGTAACTTATCTCTTGATTTTCAAAATTGGACAACTATTTTTAGTATAGTGGACAACTATTGTTGGACGGAGGGAGTATTACTTGTCGTTCTTTAAAAACTCACCTAACACTCAATGGATAGTCTTAGTAGACTAAAGATTCTTTAACACGTGCCCATAATATTAGCGTTCAATAGTTTAGATGATGAATGTCAATATGTCATGTCTTCAAGTAAGGTTAGTGGTCATCTTAGATTTAGGCCTCATTTATTTTGTTGGTATAAATCAGCCCAATGATACTTCTTAACATGGTGCGATATTGTGCCTTGGCCAAGCTGGCCGTTTTTTCTCAGTAGGCCAAATGCCATTGAGAGATCCTACACCTTATCTGTAGCTTCCAAATGTGGAAATTTGTTCTCACACCCAACAATCTTCCCCTCAAACTTACTTCCACATAGTCCATCATCATGAACCACGGGTCATTTCCTAAGATTCATTGCGTCATTCACATCATCTGTTATTTTATGGCAACTGAAGCCCAACATTAGCTTCTTTTTATGTGTGCATCTAGCATTGTATATTTACATAATCTACTGTTGATAGTTCTAGTGTATCCTGGTTCTTTATCTGTGTTTACCAAATCATATCATTGTTGTAGTTTTTTTAAAAGCTGTGAGTGGATTTTGTGCATTGACTTTTCGCAGGAGGCTCGAATAGCCATGGAGCGAGTGGTAATTCCGAAAGGGGAACCTGTTGAGCTACTCCCTAGGCCATCAAATATTATACTGCTTCAGAAGGATCTTGTTAGAAAGTACAAGCTAAAATCAGAGCGAATTGGAACAGGAATGGATTTACGGCTTCGGATTCTCCCTTTCACCAGTGCATCCGATGAAGACGGTCACGATAGTGAAGGAGTTGATGATGAGAGTGAAGTTGATGAATTATTATTCAGGCCGAATGCTGAATCAAATGGATCTGCCTACACTGTAAATAGATTACCTCTACTACCTGAATAAGAAAGTAAATTGTTGGTTTTAACACCAATTGCCTCTATCAGAGTGCATCATCTTTTGCATCATTCATAAGCTATTTAACACACTCTGAAGCCATTGAGCATATATACAAATGGTAAACTAGAAATTGCTGGGTTTTTTTTATATCAAATTATGGCCCATAATCAATTGTACTTGTTCAAATTCTCAGCCTTTTACTGCTACATAATGCGGATGTCTTTCCTTTCTGAACTAAGCTACCATAACTCTTGCTAATTGCATTAGATTCTTTGGATAAAAAAAGAGCATGATACTTTATTAGTATAGCTATTTCAGCTTATATATGAACCTACTAATAAACAACCTCTTAAGTGGATTCCTTCCCCAAACTTTTATGATACTCGAGCTTTGATAAGATAAAAGATGATATTTCCAGATATATTAACATAAGAGAAGCAATACTAAATGATTTTTTTTTGGGTATAAAGCCACATAGAGAAATATAATTTGTAAGTTGAATAATATCTCTTAGGAATAGGGATAAATAGTGAAAATCTACTCATTCCGCAGATCATCATAAAGTTTTTTGTGAATTTTTTTTGGATGACCTAGTGCCAGATCAATGGGCTATTACACACGAAAAATTAAAGAATTTGAGCAATTTCTGAAAATGGGCTTTTAAATGTGGAAATGAGAGTTAAAAATGGTGTGAGTATTCGTGAAGGTTCCCCAACTCATTACGGAGGTCCTCATGAAGATTTTGAGAAAAATATTTTGGGTGCTCCAGGTGCCAGATCCATGGGCTAATACACATGAAAAATCGGTGAATTTCGGTGATTCTTAAAAAGGAGCTTGTAAATGCGGAAATGTGAATGAAAAAATGGTGTGAGTATACGTGAAAGTTTCCCAACTTATTACAGAGGTCCTCATAAAGTTTTTTTTTAAAGATTTTTTTTGGATGATGCAAGCACCATACCCATGGGCTGATACACGAGAAACATCGGGGTAATTGACGAATTATTAGAAAAAAGACTTGTAAATACGGAAATGGTTGTGAAAAAATGGTGGGAGTACACGTGAAAATTATCCAACTCATTATAAAGGTCCTCATAATGTTTTTTTGAAATTTTTTTTGGGTGATATGTGCGCTAGATCTATGGGCTAATAAACACGAAAAATCGGGATATTTGCGCAATTTCTTAAAATGAGCTTGTAAATGTGGAAATGGGTGTTTAAACTGGTGTGAGTATACGTTAGGGTTCTCCAACTCATTACGGAGGTCCTCATAAAGCTTTTTGAGAAATTTTTTTGGGGTTCTCTGGTCGCCAGATCAATGGGCTAATATACACGAAAAATCGGATAATTTGGGCAATTCCTAAATAGGGCTTGTAAATGTACGAATGTACGTGAAAAAATAGTGTGAGTATATGTGAAGATTCCCCAACTCATTATATAGGTCCTCATCAAGTTTTAAGAATTTTTTTTGGATGATCCGTGCGCCAGATCCATGGGATGATATACATGGAAAATTGGTGAATTTGGACGATTCCTAAAATGGGTTTGTAAATATGGAAAGGTATGTTAAAAATAGTGTGAGTATATGTGGAGGTCCCCAAACTCATTATGGAGGTCCTCATAAATTTTTTTGAGATTTTTTTTGGATGCTTCGGGTGATAGATAGATCAATGGGCTAATACACACAAAAATTAATAGATTTGGGAGATTATTAAAAAAAGGGCTTGTAAATGCGGAAATGAGCGTGAAAAAATGGTGTGAATATATGTGAAGGTTGCCCAACTCATTACGGAGGTCCTAATAAAGTTTTTGAAGATTTTTTTTAGATGATCCGGGTGCCAAATCAATGGGCTAATACACACGAAAAATCAGGAAATTGAGTGATTCCTAAAAAAGAATTTGTAAATGCGAAAATGGTGAGAGTATATGGGAAGGTTCCAATACTCATTCCACAGGTCCTCCAAAAGATTTTTGAGAAAATATTTTGGGTACTCTAGGCGACAGATCCATGAACTAACACACATGAAAAATCAAGGAATTTGAGATATTCTTAAAAAAGGCATGTAAAAGCGGGAACGAGCATAAAAAAATGGTGTGAGTATACATGAAAGTTCTCCAGCTCATTACAGATGAGCTAATACACATGAAAAAATCGAGGAATTTGAGTGATTTTTGAAAAAGGTCTTGTAAATTCGAAAATAACGTTAAGAAAATAAGTGAAGGTTCTCCAACTCATTACAGAGGTCCTCTAAGTTTTTGGAGAAAAAAATTTGGCTATCGTGGGCGCTAGATCCATGGGCTGAAAGACACGAAAGGAAATTTTGGCCATTATTAAAAAAAGGCTTGTAAATGAGGAAATATGCGTGAAAAAAATGGTGTGATAATATATGAAAATTTCCCGACTCATTACGGAGGTCCTCATAAAGATTTTAGAGAAATTCTTTTGGATGATTCAGGTGCCAGATCCATGGGCTAATACACAAGAAAAATCGAGAAATTTGGGCGACTCCCTAAAAAAGGGATTGTAAATGCAGAAATGGGCGTTAAAAATAGTTTGAGTATACGTCAAGGTTCCCCAATTCATTACGGATGTCCTCATAAAGCTTTTTGGGTGCACCAGACCAATGGACTAATACACACGAAAAATCGAGGAACTTAGTCGAATCTTAAAGGGCTTGTAAATGCGGAAATGAGCGTGAAAAGAATAGCATAAGTATATGTGAAGGTTCTCCAACTTTTTATGGATGTCCTCATAAAGTTGTTGAGAAATTTTTTTGGATGATCCAAACGCCAAATCCATGGGTTAATACACACGAAAAATTGAGGAATTTGGACATTTCCTAAAAAAGGCTAGTAAATGAGGAAATGGGCTTTAAAAAATGTTGTCACTATAGTGAAGGTCCCCAAATCATCATAGTGGTCGTTATAAAGTTTTTTGAGAAATTTATTTTGAATGCCTCGAGCGCCAGATCGATGTGCTAATACACAGGAAAAATTGGTAAATTTGGGCAATTATTAAAAATGGGCGTGAAAAAAATGATGTGAGTATACGTAAAGGTTTCCCAACTCATTACCGAGGTCCTCATAAAGTTTTTTGAGAAAATCTGGACGCCAAATCCATGGGCTAGTAAACACAAAAAATTAGGAAATTTAGGTGATTCCTAAAAATTGACTTGTATATCCTGAAATTGGCGTTAAAAAGTAGTGTCAATATACATGAAGGTTCTCCAACTAATTAGGTCTTCATAAAAAATCTTGAGAAAAAGAATTGTCTCCTCTGAGTACCAGATCCATGGGCTAATGCACACGGAAAATTGAAAAATTTGAGTGATTATTAAAAAAAGGGTTTGTAAATATGGAAATGGACATGAAAAATGTTATGACTATACGTGGAGGTTCCCCAACTTATGATGGAGGTCCTCATAAAGTTTTTGAGATTTTTTTTTGATGATCCGGGCGCTATATACATTCCAAAAATCAGGAAATATGGGCAATTCCTATAAAATGGCTTGTAAATGCTAAAATGGGAGCTAAAAAATGGGGTGAGTATATGTGAATGTTACAATCTCATTACGGGGATAATCATAAAGTTGTTTGAGAAAAAAACTTGAGGTGCTCTGGGCGCCAGATTCATGGTATACACATGAAAAATCAGGAAATTAGGGTGATTAATAAAAATGACTTGTAAATGCGGGAAAGAGTGTGAAAAAATGGTGTGAGTATAAATGAAGGTTCCTAACTCATTAAGTAGGACCTCATAATGTTTTTGGAGAAAAAAACTTTTGAATGATCCGGCGCCAGGTCGATGGGTAAATACACATGAAAAATCAAAAAATATGGGTAATTCTTGAAAAAAAAATTTTAATTGCGAGAATGGGCGTGAAAAAAAATGGTGTGAATATACGTGAAGATTTCCCAACTCATTACGGAGGGACTCATAAAGTTTTTTGAGAATTTTTTTTGGGTGATCCATGCACCAGATCCATGACTAATACACACAAAAAAATTATGAAATGTGAGTAAATCTTAAAAAAAGGCTTGCAAATGCGGAAATGAGCGTTAAGAAATGGTAAGAGTATACATGAAGGTTCCCCAAATCATTACAGAGGTACTCATAAAGCTTTTTGAGAAAAAAACTCAAGGTGCTCCGAGCTCCATATTCATTGATTAATCTTCACGAAAAATTATTAAATTAGGGTGATTATTAAAAAAAGGCTTGTAAATACGAAAATGGGCGTGAAAATATTGTTATTACTGTACCTAAAGGTTCCACAATTTATTACGGATGTCCTTATAAATATTTTTGGATGATCCGAGCGCCAGATCCATGAGCTAATACACACGAAAAATTAGAGAATTTGGCTAATTTTTAAAAAGGGCTTGTAAATGCGGAAATAAGCGTTAATATTATGGTGTGAACATACATAAAGGTTCCCCAATTCATTACTGAGGTCCACATAAAGTTATTTGGTAGTATCTTTTTGCTGATTAAGGCACTAGATCTATGGGCTAGTTAATATAAATCAATTTTATACAAGTTTAAATGTCTACTTGTGCACATCCAAAGTTAAGGGTCATAGTTGCCAACTGACGCAAAGTTACGAGTCATGTTTATGTATTATGCCTTCCTAAAAAAGGCCATGTATATATAGACGTTAAAACATGGTAATAGTATGCGGAATTTGATATAATACGAGAAAATATAAACGCGAAAAATAAGACAACAGATTTACGTGGTTCACCAATAAATTGGCTACGTCCACGGGAAGAGGGGGAGCAGTTTTATTATGGAGAGGCAAGAACAGAATTACAGAATAGGGTTTGTCATAGCGT